CAACCACTATGGAAGACGAGAATTTGGTTTTCTTAAACTCTGAGGAGTGGATGGAGATCTTTCCAATGTGTAAATACATAAATGTGGTTAAAATAGTATTAATACTTACCATATTTAAACTATGTAACTATTGTTCATAGCTGAGCCATTGTTGCAACTTCTTTAGCTACCTTATATTTTTTTCATGGTTAATAATTGCCCCTCTTGTTATTGGTTAAGTTTTCTTTATCTATCACTAATTCAGTTCCTAATTTTGTGACAGATTATAAAATTCCTTCCAGTATTGTCAAAGACATCCATAATCTGTCACTTACGTATTTTCCCCTTTGGCGCCACCTCATTTGGATAACTTTGTCATCCTGGTCATCCTGGTCCAGTCTGGTTTGATTGTTTTGCCTCTCCTTTTTGTTGGTTTCCCTGTCGTCTTCTTTTCTAATTTACTTCATATTTTACTGATTGTGGCTTCTTTAGAAAGAGTGCCTCAGAGGTAGTTATTTTTAGATCTTGCATATCTGAAGACGTTTTTATTCTTGTTCATACTTGATTGAGAATTTGCCTAATATAGAATTCTATGTGGAAATTATGTTCCTCCCAAATTTTGACGGCATTACTGTATTTTTATGCAAATAACGCGTGCCTTCTGTGTTTGTTTGCTAACCGTGCCCGCCCTCCATGAGATATTTTCATCAGTGCTGTAATGCTGTGTTTTTCTTTTTTCTTTAAAACACGTTGCTGTTACGAAAATACCTCATGAGGGGAGGGTGCATTTGGCAAACAAACATAGAAAGTGTGCATTATTTGCATAAAAATATGTTATTCTGTTGTCTTCTAGTTACAAGTATTACTGTTGACCATTTCGGGGATGTTCTGATTCCTGATCCTTTGCATAATGAAATTTCATGATGTGACTTAATGTGTGTCTTTTTTTGCTGAGTATTCGTTTATTGCTGAACATTCAGCAAACCCTTTAATTTTGGAAATTCATGTCCTTGTATTGAGCAATTTTCTTGTGTAATTTTCTATCCTCCACTCTATTTCCTTGTCTTTCTGTTCTGCTTCCTGGAAGAATTCCTCAACTTTATCTGGATTTTTTTTTACTAAAATTGGCAGTTTTGCTGTTACAATTTCCAAGAGCTCCATCAATTTCTGTATTGTTTCTTTTCTAATGCATCCTATTCTTATATCATGGTTGCAACATGTTTTTGTCTATTTTTCAGTATCTTTTTTTTTTTTTTTTTTTTACTTTTTCCATTTTATTTATTTACTCCAAGTTTCTTTTCTTATGTTTGTTTGTCTCTGTCTTTCATGTTAGAGGTGCTTCTTAAATGTTTGCTGATTCTTGCTTTTCCTTTTATTTAAAGTAAGGCATTTAAAAGCTTATTGGAAGCTCTGTGTGTTTTGATTTATGGGTCTTACCTAGATTTTTCAATGGTGATTTCCAAAAGTTAGTATCTTGTGGGTGTTTTCATTTGAATTGATTTGGTTTCCTATCACCTGCGTTGGGAATAGGAGAGGAGTTGGGCTATAAGCATGGTTCCGAAGTTCTTGGATCCTAACCATGGAGAGAGACAGTGGGTAGGGAGAGTTAAGAGTGAGTGGTGTCCTAGCATTCAGTATGCACCCTTTGACTGTCTTCCAGAATCATTATAGCATCTTACCCCGTCCTCATCTGTGCCTCGAGGCTCCGATTCTCCTACCTGTCTGGTGTATCCCTTCCAAAGATCTTGGGGTGGAGATAGCTTCCTAGCCGAGCAGGCAAAAAGAGAGGGGTCTGACTACTTTTAATGCTATCTTTTAGTTAGTCCCCCATTTTCAGTCTTACCTGCATCCTGACCTTCTTCTGGTCACTTGCTATTGATGCTTTCAATTCCTAAGGATCTGCTGAACAAGTTAGTATGCTTCCTGATTGGCTTCCTCCCTCTGCTGGTATTTAAGTTATAGCTATCTTTTGTCCATGTTCCAAAATTTTGATTTTTTTTGTTTTCTATCAACTCCTTTTTTAAAGTTTTAAAAAGCAAAGATGTCACCTTGAGGACTAAAGTGCACCTGACCCAAGCCATGGTGTTTTCAGTCGCCTCATATACATGCGAAAGTTGGACGATTAACAAGGAAGACCGAAGAAGAATTGACGCCTTTGAGTTGTGTTGGTGAAGAATATTGAATATACCATGGGCTGCCAAAAGAACCAACAAATCTGTCTTGGAAGAAGTACCACCAGAATGCTGCTTAGAAGCAATGATGGTGAGACCATGTCTCACCTACTTTGGACATGTTATCAGGAGGGATCAGTCCCTGGAGAAGGACATCATGCTTGGTAAAATAGAGGGTCAGCGAAAAAGAGGAAGACTCTCAATGAGATGGATTGACACAGTGTCTGCAACAATGGGCTCAAGCATAGCAACAATTGTGAGGATGGCGCAGGACAAGCAGTGTTTCGTTCTGTTGTGCATAGGGTCACTATGAGTCGGAACCGACTCGACGGCACCTAACAACAACAACATCAACTCCCTTATTTTTGTAGTGTTTCTAGAGGGAGTGGAGATAATGTTTAATGTAGTATGTTTAATCTAAAGGCTTTTTTTTTCATCCAAAAATTCTACACTTTTCTAGGATTTTTTTTTTTGGAATTTTTGTGATTCTCTTATTACAGTCGGCTGTCTGTATCTGTGGGTTCTGTATCCACAGATTCAACCAACTGTTGATCGATATATTAAAAAAAAAAAGTCCCAAAAAACGAAACTTGAATTTGCTGCACTTCGAGCACTACACTGAATCTGTGTGAATAAAGTGGTGTCTAGAGCACAGATCCTCAGTCTCTCTCCAGAGCTGGTTGTTTGAGCGTTATTCGCCTAAAAGCAATTAAGTGGGCAAAGCAGTCCCTCAGAGGCTAAGAGCAAACATAAAGTGTTATGTCTCAAAGAGAAAACAAAAATCTTATATCTTTTGAAAAAGTGGCATGTCTCTTGCTGAAGTAGGCCATAAGGTTGGTAAGAATGATTTGAGCATTTGCACAATAAAGCAGAAAGAAGCTGAAATTTGTGGAAGTGTTAGTGCTGTCCCTACAACAGCAAAAATGGTCACTCTGGTTGGTGATAAAGTGCTTGCAAAGACTGAGAAAGCATTAAGTGTAAGCATTAACAACTATTTACATAGCATTTACATTGTATTAGTTATTATAAGTAATCTAAGGATGATTTAAAGTATGCAGGAGGATATGTGTAGGTTATATGCAAATACTGTGCCATTTTATGTAAGACACTTGAGCATACTTGGATTTTGGTATCTGCAGGGTGTCCTGGAACCAGTCCCCACAGATACTGAGGGAGGACTGTACTCACCAGCCTTCCATGTTGTATCCTCTTCTTTTGTCTATCTTTTTAAGTATTGTTATTCCTTAGCTTTTCTCTCTCTCTCTTTCTTTTTCCTCTTCTTGTTTGATCTTACATATTTCTCTGGCTACAGTCAACTCTTTATATACTGATGACACCCAAATAGTTATACCGTTCTGACCTATCACCATTGTTCAGTTCCTTAATAATACCTTTTTAAGGTATCGTTTCATGAACATCCACCTGTATCATTTTTTTTGCCCATCTCTCACACCTTTTGGATAGTTTTAGATGGGCATTCATGGGCATTCAGTTTTTAGATTTAGAATTCTCTGATACTTTTAGTATATATACTAATTCCTAACATTTACTTTTAGTAAAACATTCTTTGAAGTATGTTTTTCAGTGCTGGAGGTTAGAAATGCATTCCTCTTATGCCAGAAATTAAAAAAATGTAAGCACATATTGAAGTGGTGAACCAATATCCTCTCTTACCTCCTCTCAACCATACTCTCACACAGTCTCTTCCTTAAGCCCTCCTGGCCATCTTACTCATCCTTGAACATGCCAAGCATCATCCTACTTTCAGGCCTTGGTACTTCTTGCTCTTTCTGACCAGAACCCCCTTCCTCCAATTTTTAAATTGGTTGATATATTGAAATCTCTTAGAACAGTTTTTGGCAAATACTAGGTACTCAATTAGTGTCAGCAGTTATTGTTGTTATCATTATCATATCCGTATAGACTGCCCCTTTTCTCATTTCATTTAGGTGTCTGCTCAAATTATCATCTCCTAAAAGAAGCCATTCTTAATTTATAATACTCTACTTGAAATATCCCTTCCTCCTGGTTATTCGTCAAATACCATGTTTTATTTTTATTCATATCACTATATGACTTATTTATTTGTGTATTTGTTTACTCCTACCCTCTCCCAGAATGTAAACTCCTGAAGAACAGGGGCTTTGTCTTATTCACTTTGTCTCAAATTCCTTCAATGTGCCCTTTACAGTGCTTCAGAAATGTTGAATAAATACTGGACTAGCGCATCACTTAATTTTCTTTTTTTCCTCCGTCTTACCCTATTCTACACTGTGTCAATTGACTTTCCATTACATATTCTTTGGATACAATAATAAGTTGTGTTTTACTAAGGTCTAAATTTCTTAACAGTTGCAAAATGGTTAGCACTGGAAACAGCAGTAGTTCTTTTAGGGTGCTATTTAATATATGACCTCATGAATTACTTCATCTTCTGTCTGTATTTCTTTAGCAGTTATTTGAACTGAACTCAAATGTAAACTACAAATCACAATAAATGATCAATTCTAAATTGAATCCAAGTATTTTCATTTTTATTTAATTTTTGGTCCTCATTCTAAGATGTAAACTTATCTAAGTGAACTAGTTTGAAACTATAGACCTGGAAGCATCCAGTGTATCAAAATAACCTTTTGAAACAATTCAGTTTTAGCTCTTGATAACCTTGAAAGAGTCTGAAAATGAAATTTTTGTGGCATTATTTTGAGCTTCTAGGTCTTATTGTGCCTCGTTGATGCTTCTCTAGAAGTTGATGGAAATGTAATAGCAATGGATGCTTTTCCTATTTTTGCAATGGAATATAAGGTTGAGTACAAATTATGTTATATATTTTTAATTTTTTATTCACAGGCCACAGAAACACTGTTTAGAATGGGTGTAGCAAGAGGAATCCTCACAACGTTAAGAAATGGAGAAGTAAGATGATAATTTTGATACATTTATTTGTTCTTAGTTCATCGTCTGTTGTTTTTTTAAATATAAAATGTGGTGAATTCTGTGATTCTTTACATATCAAGGAGTCCCTCAGTTGTGCAGACAGTTAACACGCTTGGCTACTAACTGAGTGGTTGGAGGTTCAGGTCCACCCAGACACACCTCAAAAGAGGGGCCTGCCTATCTAATTCTGAAAAATCAGCCATTATAAATCCTAGGGAGCATAATTCTACTCTGACACACATGGGGTTGCCGTGAGTCTAGAGTCAGCTCCATGGTAACTGGTTTCAGTTGTGTAACAAATTGAGAAATACCTGATTTACATAATATTGGATGTGCCTGACAAATGTATCTGGAAGTGAGTGAGTATCTAAGGAGTTAAGTGCAGTTGCATTACTGTATGACTGTGAAAGTAATTGGTCGATATATTTATTTACTAGGCCTCACTTCATCTTCTAACTATTTTCTTTCTCGTTGTTTTGAATGCTAATTCTTTATATAAGGAAACCTAGAAGTAAACCCCTTCATTTGACTCATACATTTTTATTTTATTTTAAATTTTATTTATTTTGTTGTTGTTGAGAATATATACAGCAATTTAACAGTTTCTACATGTACAGTTCAGTTCTGTCTGTTTTTCTGTAGCAGTTAAGTGATTTGAACTGTACAATCATTTGGAAAGCATATACCCTTTAAACATTTAATTTACATTGGCAAATCACTTTACTATTAATTTGTAAAATATATTTTGTCTGTGAAGAAAGACTTAATTGATTTCTTTGTAATCTTAACAAACTAAAGTATGTGGTGTTATTTTGAGAAAATATTTTACAAGGTCAGTCATATTTATCTGCCTAGAATGCTCAAAATGAATTTTCGATTTTAATAATTATCTGTGTAGTTTCACATGGGGAGAGGGTCATTGAGCTTTTAAACTATCTTTTGTTACAAGAGGGTTGGGAAAATGTATCCAAGACGATCATATAAGCACTCTTCTGAGCATCTCAACACATGTTGGATATATACATGTTTTACTTACTAGGGAGGAAGTAGTTAAAGCAGCTGGCTTTTGATCAATTTCTCCCCCAGTTACTGGGGGTTGCTCCAGGGGAGCAACCTGGTTAACAGGTGGTAAGGTTGAGCAAAGTTTTTAAGCACTCTTTTACCATTTTTGTCTAAAATGAGGCTTGAGTGGAGGAAGGAGCACTAGCCTGCTCTGACTTGAGTTCTCTTCCTGGCTTTACTAGCCATGTGACCTCGGGCAATTTAATTAACTTCTCAGAACTTCAGAATCATATTTTAGGATTTGAGTTGATTTAGATGATCTTTAAGATCCTGAACAGCTTTAACATTTTCTACTTCCAGGCAGCTCCGTATATCTTTCCTGTTTAGGCCTTTAAAGTCATAGTTCTCAACCGTGGCTGTGCATCAGTCAGAATTGCCTGTGGAGCTCTGTAGAGCTGTGGTTGCCAAGGCTTCATCCTCAGTGACCTTGTCTAGCTTGAGGCTCCAGTATCTAAATTTTTAAAAATATCTGCTGATTTTAATGCTTAGCCACTCTTATAAGTCACTGTTTTAGAGAAGTGTTTCTCAGTCTTTTTTCTTTGAACTCAAGGAATGTACAGCTTGAATAAGACAAAACATAAAGAAATTGCAAAGAAATTTAAAATACATTTAAGGATTTTGTATATGAAGAATAAGGGTAGCATTGTTTCTTGCTGTTTTGGCAACATGGATGTGGGGTTTGACCCAGTACTTACTTTTGTTGTGTGTTAGTGCATGGTATTAGGTATTTTGCATGATTTATTAGAACGGAAAACTTTTTTACATTCCACAGGCATGCTTTAAATCAGTAATGTTGAATATTCAATTCTAATGTGATTGCTTCAGCATGAGAGTGGAAGTTCCTTGTTACGCATTTCTCTTTCTTCAGGTTTAGCACATGCCTGGCACATAATAAGGATCTCATTATACTATGTCTGATGAACAAGTAATAGATTTATTTAGAAAGTATTTATGTGACAAATATAGCTTTGATTTAATCAATTTAAGTTTAGTATAAATAAAAGCATAAATATT